CGTGTGTGCGCGTGTGTTTGTATGTGTGTAAGCGTGCGTGTGTGTGCGCGTGTGTTTGTACAATATATATGTATGTGTGTGTGTGCGTGCGTGCATGCGTGCGTGCGTGCGTGTGTGTTTGTATGTGTGTAAGCGTGCGTGTGTGTGCGCGTGTGTTTGTACAATATATATGTATGTGTGTGTGTGCGTGCGTGCATGCGTGCGTGCGTGCGTGTGTGTTTGTATGTGTGTAAGCGTGCGTGTGTGTGCGCGTGTGTTTGTACAATATATATGTATGTGTGTGTGTGCGTGCGTGCATGCGTGCGTGCGTGCGTGTGTGTTTGTATGTGTATAAGCGTACGTGTGCGTACATTAGCATGTGCATTAGCTATAAGCAATATAAATATGAAGAATACAATTACCTATTAGCAATATACATCAGCTATAAAGAATGTGAATTATAGCTATATAGATTATACATCAGCTATAAAGAATGTGTATTAGCTATAAATAATTCACATTAACTATAAACATTGTCGCACCTCTTGGCTGTAAATCAGTGAGAAGTGCAGCGAGCCAGCGGTCTCGGGTTCTCTCTCCGCGCATTTCTCCTCGAGTGAAGGTTGCTTATAGAGCTCCGGTTTAATCTCACCTGTATCCGACACGACAATAGATGCGACGCGCTGATGAAACTCGATTCACTGTCCAGCTACGCCTGTACAGGTGCGCGCGCTCGCAACGTTACACGCCTACCTGGATACCCACGACAATTATCTATACGCTAAGAGAAAGTGTAACCGCCCGTGAAATCACATGTTTCAGGTCGATACGCGAAACTGCAGCTAGAATGTCGATGGTTACGGACTGATATGGATTATGTGCTAGCTCACGATTAATTATTTACAGTGGTAATTTGTGATTAGTAAATATTCATTAGTAGTTGCTTAGTATCTCTGAAAAACATCCGGATATTTCGTGCGCCGAGGACAAATAGAGTGATTACGTGGATTGCGTCTCTACTTGTCTGACGACAAACAACGACGTTTGTATTATTAACAGCCGCATTTATTGAGGTATCCGCCTGGCGGTTATTGACAAACAGATCTAGCCAATCTTTGTTGTGATATCACGTTCTAAATGACAATGCTTAGCAACGTAGTACCGCACAGTCGAAATTTTGCGAGCACGCATGTGCGCACGTGTATAAACGGGGCGAGCTTGCCTGGCCCAGCAACTATATAGTCATTCAAGATAATTAGTAAGAAGCAGAGCGCGGTTGCCTGCGGGTAGGTCGATAACGACGTGTGGCTACGTCGATGTACTGCGATCACTATGTGACCAAGCTTCTACATAGTAACTGCATATAACATACAGAGTAAATACCATGTTACAGATGTTACATTAGTAAAGATGATAGAGTGCTCGTAGAGATGCGTATTGCGTTACCTAGGAAACACGTTCAATCCATCGATTTACAAACAATATTATGCTGCGTTTACACTGTGTTCCCGGCGGCCACGGCAGCCACCTTTCAGGCTACTGTGGACAAAACGGGATGGACGTGTGACAACGCGGGGGGACGGAATGGGCAAACGTGACAGGCCGTGATTGCAGTGGATGCTGCGCCAGATTTTTAATCTGTCAAAAGATTTGCCATGGCAGTCACGGTGCGGATGAGAAACCTAGTAGGCCGTAGTAAAACGGGGTAAACGCAACAAAACGTGACAGTACGTAATAGGCCGTATAGTCTATCAGCTGGGGGAAGTCCTGTGTGCATTTATATGTCCCCGCAGTTTGACGCTTGATTCATGTTGGGGACACCCCTGGGAGTAAAAAAAACTTGGGTAGACATTCTGAATCATGGGAAGGATAGGTGAAATTCAAGATGGCGTTCAAGATGGCTGTCAATTCAGCATGTCAGTAATTGCAGCATACTCGCCACTATTTATGATAGAGGTATTTGGTGCTACCATCTTATGGCAGCTATCGATAAAACTGAATACCTCGCGTACGAAAATCTTGCAATGTTAAATCTAAGATGGCCGCCGAAAGGACACCGTATCAATAAACGCATAACACTCCGCAGATACTTATGCTAGAAGCAGTAAATTCGTGTCTATCCCATGTTTAAGGTCCAGTATCCACTGAGACTAAAACCAGATTAAACACCACTGCATCACCATCAAAGCTAAGATGCCACCACAAATATACCGCGACATATATGACAAGTTTCACAATCGCTATAAACTCGCAGCATTACAGTAAGCAATGATATTATGGTAAAGTATTAACTACGATCACTGTCCGCTTGCTACCCTCCCGTACAGTAAGAAAGTGTATACCGCCCCAAAAACTTCAGGTATATTGGTCAACTTCGCAGATAAACACTCTGCAGTGACGAAGAGTTTACCACATAGCAAAAATCATGTGTGGCCCGTTAATCTTCGCAATACTTGGTTCTCGGCTCGTCATATGTCAAATTCCTCGGTATGGAATACTGCGTGAAGGAGCAGAATGATTTGAATCGAAAACGGTACTTGCCCTACGGACCCACAGTCTTGGGCTCGAATATTGGCGTCCTTGGCGTATGCCATTGCTACGAAACAATGAAAAGACTCCAGGGGAACATTCTTTATATTGGCAAGCAAAGTCCAGGCATACTGAGAAATGAAACAGTGCCGGAGAAGGATCTTGTTAGAAAGTCGAACAGCTGCTCGCGATGGTCGCTACCCCAATCAGTACGCTGTGATGATGGAGAGTGAAAACGACGGAAGAGCGAGAGAAGTGAACATTTAGAACGGCTACATTCATTATATGTCAATATTGGCAAAGGACTTGTCGAGCTGATAGGAAGGGAATTGGCAACTACCCACCTGAAACGTGTTTGAGGCTATCCCTGCCTTAATTCGCGACATCGAACCCTCGACCCAAAAACTACCTCGCTGGGTCCTATACTTGGCATCCATGAAATTTCTGCCTGTAAGGCACGCATTTATAACTTCTTAATCGGGCTGGCTCAAGCGTCGCAGCGCCATTCACAGCCGCGCAATGACCTGTGCTTAACACAGACGACAAAACGACGCTCCTCGAGAGAGTGCGGTCTCAGAGGCACCAGGAAGACGCATACGTTCCGAAGAATGATCATCTCACCATGAAAGTAAGTTCTTAACCACCTGTTTACGGAGATACCGGAGTAGAAGATACAATTCAGGAGTTAGAATTGTCAACCGAAATGCACCACTGGACTACTGAAGGTGGGGACAAAAGGTTGATGACATCATGACATAATAGGTTACC